TAAAAAAAGGCCATCATTTTTATATGGGATCGCCTTAATGGTTATGGTGTAAAACCAATCAATAAAGCTAATTAGGTACCAATACAAACTGGAGTAAACTTATTCTCATAAATTCAAAAATAATTATTCTGAAACAATATTATGAGTTCATAATAAAATTGGAGCACTAATTTATGACTAAGGCAGTGCCGAATTTAGGGGAAGGAGGCGAATAGAACAAATTCCCCAAGCAACAAACTTTTGGGGGTGGCAACAAATTATAGCATTTACTTATGATGTGTCAATGATTTTTTTAATTTTTGCATATTTTTCGGTATTGCTATGTATTTAAAATAAACATCTACAGCATTTATATTCTAAAAAAAAATTGTTGAACTTTTCCATAATTACCAGTTTTTGATTTCTGTAACAATCATCTCCAGCGTTGAGGTGTACGAAAAGGCTAAACTAGGTACTTTAGAAAGTATATCCGGAAAATTTGGAAATATTCCTAAATTAATGCATTCACTTTAGAGCACACTTAAAAAGTTTACTATAGGAGAGTAAAATTATACCTAACATTGTTCAATGTATATTGATATTTATAAAACAAAATAGTTAAGTTGAAATATATCCTTGTAAAGATATTGCTCTGAGAATGCTTCTACGAGCAGGGTATAGACAGAAAAATACTTTTTTGGGGGTCTTCATTTTCAATTCTACATAAGTAACAACTGTTTTATTTTTATAAGTTAAACATAACTATATATCTATACATACATAATGTATTATTATTTAGTTTTTAGTAACTTTCAAAATTGTTTAATGATGACATGATATAACATTGATTATAGAATAAATTTTTTATTAATAAATTAATTATAATTAATTATAATGTATAGTTATTCATAAATTGTTTTACAACTGGAATTTACAATTTGAAAAAAATTTAGATTTTTAGGTACATATAGATTTGTATTATATATACTAGGTACTTTATAGACACTTGGAAAATATTTCAAAACAACTGATTTGTTCATAAAATGAATTTTGATATTGCCTAATTTAGAATTTTTTTAATAAAAGGAGAGAAATTATTTCGTCCCAAGACGTATATTTTTTAAATATGCCAGAAGCGTGTCCAGCGGGTAGGCTTGGTAGGCCCGGGCCTACCCTGATTTTTAACCATTAAGTATACCCAAAATATGCATTTTAAAATTATATTTATATAAGCACACTGAATACTGAATGTAAAATGTAAGTACATCGACATACTGCGTAGGCAATTGTGTGGTCATATTTTTTATCGATCATATTTTTTGATGTAAACATTATAAATATTTGTCTTTAAATAAAATTAATAATCATAAAATTAACTGGCAATTCTCAAGCGCTTCTTGGAAATACCCCATATTTCTATATGGATATTACACGACCCCACGATTGTCGTCGTTTGGTTGGCGATCACCGCTGTAGTGTTGAGCGTCAACAATTTTTTATAACCAGGCCTGTCTTGAATTTTGGTCTTAGACACGCCTCTGAAATATTCCACTAGATTTAGGGATGATAAGCACCTTCACATGGCTGTATGTGTGCTAATGAAATCGAGTTGAATTAAAATGTTCTTATTAATACCATTGATTAAATAAGTACTTATTTAATCAATGTTAGTTTTAATTTACAGTTTAAAATTTTGAATTACCTTATCAATAAAACTATGACACTGGACGTGTTTACACTGTACTTCTGACGTATGCAGCGACAAACTTCACTGATTCAATCGATATGTCATAAAATTTAAAAAAAAATTAAATAGTTTCCTAAAATGTCTGGACAGATTTAACAACAAAAAAGGTAACCACGGACCCAGTGTACATTTGCCCGTAGTTACTCGTGAGTGACACAAAGGTAACGCGTTTTTCGCCGAGACGTAGAATGTCAGTGTCGTACGGCAAAAAGTGGCGGATAAAGTGAACGTCACATAAGCATTAACCATTGAGTAATATTACTCTATGGCAGTGCTTCTCAACCTTTTTCAAACTGCCGCCCCCCTAAGAAACAAATTTTTTTTTCAACGCCCCCCCCCCTTTTACTTCATTAATATAAAAATATAAATAGTATACATAAAATGTTTATAATTTAATAATAAATAATATAGATATAAATGTAAAGATAGTAAAAGTAAAATGTAAAATTTATATTTAAATATAATTTAAAAGGATAATTTTAATGTTTTGAAATGTATTGATCAGTGAAATGCTTGGTGATTCAAAGCCAATTTTTTTTACGTTTTGTTCAAAATTTGTGAGATGAAGCCTCCTCTTTTGACGATATCTAGTCGATTTCTTTTTTTTGTTATTAGATAATAACGTACTGCCTCTGATATATGTAGTTAATATTTCATAATCACAAATTTATTTTAAAAATCAATAAACAGAAAACAATTACAGATAAATCTTGGTACGTTATTTTGAACGGAAAAAAGTTCACCGCTCCCTAATCGCCCAAAACGAGCTCACCGTCCCCCAATTACCCTAAACGAACTCACCGCCCCTCAGTACTCCTTCACCACTCACCGGGGGGCGATATCGCCTATGTTAAGAAGCACTGCTCTATGGTATTAACGCCGTTGTGGAAATTAATTATAAGCGTCATTACAGTATTGGCGGTAGTATGCACACGATATCGATGTTTTGTATTATAATCGTTCATGCCAAATATCGGTTAATCAATACAGAATCCTACGTGCATTTGCACAAAAATCGTCACGCGCCGTAAATATAACAATGTAAATATTTAAAACGCATTACAGTACCATAGGCGCAACTAGAGCCCAAATATTGGGTGTGCTGAAATTACATAGCTCGCACTAACCCGCGGGTGGCTACGATAACACTCCCTCCCCCACAAATACCTTATCTTAATTTAATCATTAAATTTATCATAACAACACACATACACTAATATTTAAATTTATAAATAGTAACAAGCATAAATTGTAACATGCCTATTTATTTCATTATGTTATTTTATTTAGATCATACAGCACTAAAAAATATATAAATTAAAAAAATATTATACAATATACAACATATAATATTTATACTGGTATTATTTTGCGATGACTAGTGAAATTTTTTCCAAGTAATTTTGACAATGTAATTAACTAATAGTTATGAACAATTCATCTTTCTGATAAAAGCATCAAATAAAAATAACTATATAAAGTAAGAAAAACACTAGTTTTTCACACAAATTTTAAATTATTAATTTTTTAACTGGAGGTGCTATAGCATCCCCCTAGTTGCACCTATGTGCAGTATCTAACGTGATAACTAATTTCTACATCGTACATTTTTGTAGTAAGTATTCAAATAGAACATTTTTGTTATGTGAACTATACGAAACGGTATTAAACCAGGACCGTTAAAAGGGGGGGGGCAACAAGACCATTTTGCCCTAGGCCCCATTGTTGGAATATTTTTTATGGGACCCCCATTAAGTCTTAATGTGTAATAATTAATAATAAATCCACGATTACACTGAAATATTTTACATGCAGCGTATCGGCGATTAAAGTCGCGTGCGTGTGAGCGTGTAGTGGACTTGTCCGATTAAATCATAAATAATATTAAAAATATTCAATTCTATTATGTAAGTATGTAACGCAGTACATGAACTTAAATGAGCTTGATTGGTTAAGGTTTGGAAAAATACGTTTGCAAGAATTTTTTTATTCTCAGTGAGTATTTTGTTTATCATATCTTATTACTATGGTCGAAGGGCCTCTAAATAAATTTGTCCCCGGCTCCGAAAAACCTTGGGACGGCACGGATTGAAACAGCAGTACACCTTCAATGATCAGGTGTGCATCATTGTGCAGCGCAATTGGTAATATTAACATTGTCGAGTTTGCTGGTAATTTTTTTCGGTTCATCGTCGTGTCGCGTTTATCGATTTTACTCGCTATCGCAGAGGTGTGTAATGCAATTTATGAAGTTGTTGTTATAGCACCAACGCGATCTGCACGTTATGATAATAGTCGGGCACGGTAGAAAAATGAAAAAGAAGACCGCGTAGTACGCAACATAAACGTTGTAGTAAGTACGATATCATACGGTATCATACCACGGTTTATTTACGCTTGCAATTTAAACCGATGTTCACGCTCGGCCCGACGGCCGTAGGAATGTGGCGCCAATCGCGGATGTGTTCCACACGCTCGCGGTACCAACCATATTTTGAAGTCGCAGAAAAATCCCACAGAAATCGTTCACTTTGTTATCGTGATGGCTATACATTTAGTCTGCATTGTTGTTATGATTTCCTCTATTTTTTTTATCATTATATGTTTTCAATTATATCGTGAACTATTGTAATAAATTCCAAGTCCTAGAATTCAACAACTATTAAGTGACCAAGCGATAACCAATATCAATTATCTGTTTATTTAAAATATTATTATTTTTGTAAACCATTGAAAAATCGACGTCTTGATTCGAAAAGAAAATTGAAAACTTCGATTATATGGATTTAATTAAAACACGATCGTTTGCCCATTTGCACGCAATCTTTTACTCAATATTTTTTTAAACTCAATAACAGATTGTAATGAGCGTCTTAATTGCTCATGTTTCTATAAAATATTTTTTGAAATTATTTTAATAATTATAGTCTACGTCAGACGTTCTAACAAAGGATTTAATTGAAATTAGATTAATATAAAAAAAAATTAAAGTTTCACAAAAGTAAGAAAATATATACTGGTTACTTGTGAGTTCCGTTTTGATTCACTGTTCAAACTGATTAACGCCAAATACTACATACGATGTATATAGTATTTGTTAAATCACATCAACGTAAAGACGTTAAAGTGAAGCGTTCAGATCGCCGAAATCATTAGATTTGAATTATCGAATCGGAAAGCGTTTGTATATCACAAAACGAGTCCGATGGAAAGAGCGGCGCATTAGTTGGCCGCACTGTAGTCATCAGGAGCAGGAAGGTGTTTTTTTGTTTTTTTTTTTATATACTAATATCGCCAATCGCTACTCGCAAGTGTCGAGCATGAAACGATAAGTGCTAAATCTGACCGCTCGCTTTAGGTGTCCGTGCACCGTGTTTACCGCCGTTGTTCGCCCGTTGCTCGGAACACCGATCGCGTACGCCGTTACGAACGCTGTGCGCCAGCCGTCTTTGCCGTCGTCCATTGAACCGCGCGCTCACCCGTCCCGTTCCACCACCGCTGCTAATGTAAACGGGCCCCTCGACTGAAATGGGGACGTGTTGAGCGCTGTTTACAGTCGTTTGGATTACCTTGTCGTGCATACGTAAGTACTTAGACCCCCCCTTTTTGGGCCAGTTCGTGGACTGACTGAGTCAGTCGGAGACCTTACAGCCGAATGAATATTTTCGGTTGTGTTAACGATTTTTTTCTCATATCCTCTTTTTCTTTTTCCCGTCAAATCAAAACGAAAACACGGGCAACAATGGTGGTGCCATCTGTCGGCCGTCCGCATTTGTTGTCATTATCTACGTTTTATTATTTCGCTTCCGAGATTTTCGGTGCCAATTCGTGCACGTACTTTTCTCTATTTCCCTCGTTACGCGACTGGTGACAATATACGTACTCCTCGATAACATGCACTCTGTTCTCGATGGTCCCTGATGCTGGTCTGCTGTCCCAGTTAATAGCGTTCACTCATCTCGTTTCTGTTGACAGTGATCAGATGGCTACCCGCGCTTTGGTAGCAATGGAATGCACCAGCATTGGTTCATTGGTTTCTACGATTCACTTCAGACTCCACTGTTGACGACTCGGTAAGTCTATTGATCATCGTTGAAACTTTTTTTTTTCAATAATGCTGTCCAGTCTGACATGCCTTGTTGACTTTGTGTCGACCAATCAACAGTTTATCCCATTATTATTTTCATCCCTTGTCCTGTAGTTCTTTTTATTGAACTCTGTTGTATTTTCATATATGTCAATTTTATTTGAAAATACATTGTCTAAACTCATTGCATTATTGTTATGTTTACTTGTGTCAAAGACATTACATTTGTCATTATACAGTAATAGTCAAATAGTTCAAGATCCATACTAAATTTCCTGCTTTTTAACTATGTCATTTACTACCTTACCATTTTAACATCATCTTTTATGTGAATAAACTAATTTTTATTTATTTGTCTAATTTACATATTCTCATTTGTCTGCTTGATATCCTATAACAACTTATTGTTTTTTTTATTATGTTAATCAAATAATACCATTTTTATGTTAATACATATCTTAGATTATTGCTCGTATTATTTTAAATTGTATATTTGTGTTGAAAATTTTGAATTTTTAACAATATTTTCAAGTTAATACATACTTAAATAAGATTAAATAGAAACAATACACAACAAATTTAAATTGTTTATTTTGTTCCAAAAGCTTATTTTGGTGAAATATGTTGATTGACTATATCATAAATTAGTTTTGTTCCTTATGAGTGTTTTTTAAAAAAAAAGGTAATTGTTGATTTTTAATATGTGTATGAAATATTGGAATGTAGATGTCTAATAATATTTCGATATAATTTTATAATTTTTATCAATTATTTTAGATATCTACTTATGAATATATTATATTTTTAGTTTTGATAAGAATTGAAATTTTTTTCTCTTGATCATAATTTTACTGGTTTGTTTCGCAATATTTATTTCATATTGTGCTCCTTGAAATTATTTTAATTATTAATTACTAAAAATATTAGAATTAGATGTTGTCTTAAAATTCCAATTATATATGTGATATGTTAAATATCATTAAAAATTAAAATAAAAACACCTTAACCTAAAATATAAAACTGTTAAAAAATCATTAGGAAACTTAATATTACCTTCTATATTTTGATATACATTTACCTATTTTGTTAGAATTCTTTGATTAGTTATTTAAAGTATTTAAATAAGTACTTTTTATGGTGTTGTATGATTTATCAAATGTATAGTAATATATAGCTGTCAAAATTATTATTTGTGTGTATCACTTATTTGAAATTAAGTACTTGTATATATTTATATTTTTCAGTAAAAAAAATTGTTGAGTTCTAGTTTATACATTTTTCACACATAAATTAGAGTTATTCCCAAAAAATGTAGTAATTTTTAACTGGTTTACATGAATATTTCAATACTAATCTCAGAAAACAAATACAAATAAAGTAATCATCCTTTCCTTATGGATTGTTTAAAATTGAACATAATTATTATTAAGTATTTGAATATTTTAAAGACCTATTAGAAATAAATGTGATATTATATTAATATAGTTAGTATAGTAATTATAATTTGTAATACAGTAAAAACAAAAAATACAAGTAGTTCATTTTGTATGATGTTCTTTACCTTATTTTTATTAAAATTTAAATTCCAATAGCATTTTTGTTACATTTCATGTCCACTTATATTTGATTTAATTATATTTGTATGACAATATAGTTTGATACTTTAAGGTTTTAACAAATCTAATTTTTTAGTGTTACTATTTTATTTTTTTACTTTATATTTATATTTAATTAATTTTGTTATACAATACAATTATTAAATTATATTAAGTTTTAGTGATTTATTTAAAAAAAACTAATGTATTCAAATACATTTTTTTCCTTATTAAGTTTTTATAGTAATAGTTTGTTTATATTTATGTTTATTATGTTTTAGTTGAATATTTAAGAAAATCAAAAAATTATCAATCTTTATTTTCAACTCTGCTATGTGGTAAGTATTATAATTTATTATATTATGATTTAAAAACGTAATTAAGATCATCTCTTAGACTGTATTTTATCAAAGAACATTTTCTAAAAAAAGCTCCTTTTATAAAAAATAATGATTTATTTAATATAAAATATTTATGTATTTAAATTTAATATTCTTTTACCTTTTTACATTTGTATGTTTATACGAATATTGATATTTCTAAAGTATAATGTATTTTTTATTCATCAACAATACTCTTTAATTATCCTAGGCATCAATGCTGCACCAGGTGGAGTTAAATTTTTATCATTTGCAAACTCAGCATGTCATATAGAACTAAACGTCAACCAATCTCTAAAGATGAATGTCCATGTAAGTATTATTCAAATATCATATTATATATTATTTTGATTTAAATTAAATGTATTCGATTTCATTTTTTTCTATAGTACCGACAAAGAGGCGGAAGGGGCGCCCTTCGACATTACAGGAAGAAGAAGAAGCGTCCTCCTTAGATACTCAAAGTGGCTCTCGTTCAGATATGAAAATACCTTCATCCATCTATAATACACGGACTACAACTGATGCACCTGCAGAAGTAATTAATTTCTATTTATGTTTGATAATTAATTTAAAAAAAAATAATAATACTTTTTTATATAATTTTTTTTTTATTATTTATTGTAGTTATTTCGCAAAGATTTGATCAGTGCCATGAAACTTCCTGATTCAGAACAGTTGTCAACTGATGCCTATTGGATTATTAGTGACCAATGGAAGCAAGAGTGGGAACGTGGTGTACAAGTCCCAGTTAATCCAGACTCTCTACCGGGCTCAAGTGTTCAAGAAGTTCCAGTTGTCTGTTTGCAATCTTCAATAAAATCACCTAGACGATCACCATCTTCAATTTATCATTCTCAACATCATGAATTCAAACTGTAAATATTTTATAATATTTAATTCAAACAATCACTCAAATTTATTGCTTTAATTTTAGACCTAAACATAAGTACATTCGTATTACTAAAGATGAACATTTTAAAACTGAAGAACATCATTTGTCACTTTTACCTTTAAAAGCAGAAAAATCTTGTTCATATGATATGGATGATGTTGATACTGCTTGGTTAAAGTTGTGTAATGGTGAAAGATCATTAGGAGGTAATTAAATTGTATAAAAAAATATAACTAACTTATACTGATAAATGAATATATATTAAGGTTTACCAAAAATAAAAGATGACCAATTTGAACATGTAATGGAAGAATTAGAAATGAGGTGTTGGGAAAAAGTGCAAGCAATAATAAAGGAAGAAGAAGGGCTTGGAATTGAATATGATGAAAATGTTATATGTGATGTGTGTCGTTCGGTAAGTCATGATACTTATTTTTTCTAATATTTAGTGTAGTTAGTTAATGAAAATATAATTTTACATTTTATTTATAAAAAATTGTATGTGATTTCTTATTCAAAAGATTAGAATCAATTAAGCTTTTACTTTTAAGTTTAATTATATTGGTTGATTTTAATTTTTAAGTTTGTTATGAATTATAATTTATAATTATATATGATTATAATTATATTATATACATAATATTCATTCTCAGGAACTATTGAGTACAATAGTAAATGTATTACTAAGGTGTGCCCTTGTAAATTGTTTTATTCAATATTGGAGGTTAAAAATCTGGGTAGTTACCCATACAAGAGTTAAGCTTTGGAGACAATTTAACTACAGCATCTAGTGGCAACTGTAGTTAATCACTGTGCTATACCATATTTCTCACAATATCCATATCAAATACTAAAGGCTATACTTTTATTTATTTTGGATTAAAAAAATCTATGAATAACCTTTTGTTGTATATTACTAAATTACTGTTAATAGTTGATGAATTTCTGATAATATAAAAAAAGTTTTAAAATAAATAATATACATCAATTAAAACAAAATATATTGTTTAAGTTAAAGTACAATCAATTTTATAATTTAATCTGTTATACTTAAAATATTATCCATTTTAAATATTTTTTTTGGTATTTACTATAAGATATAACTATAAATATTAAAATTCTTTAAAAAAAAATTCTAGTATAAGTCCTAAAAGTTTAGAAATCATATAATATTTTAACTTAAAATTGTAATTGTATATATAATTTTAGAAACAAATTGGTCAACATTTTCTTTGAGAAATGTAATGGAAGTGTTTTATATAGTAATTTTCTAGGCATAATAATACATTCAGATTTTTATAAGAATTTTTTGATACATTAGTTATATACATTAGATATATATATATATATATATATCTAAGGTCGTAATTCTCAAAACATTAAAAAATATTACATATTATTTCCTTTGTTCTAAATATTTTCAAACTAAGTAAATATATAACAAATAAAAATATATCCTACATTCTAATAAAAATAAATGTTACATTAATTTATTTTTGGGTACTTTTATTTTTTATAACATTTATATACATTTTAATTGCATATATTATGTTCATTTAATGGGTTAATTGTTTTGGTGAACTGGACATAGATATCTACTACGAGGATTACATTTTTATTTTAAAATCTGTGTTCATTTTTCTCATTATATAAATGTATTTTATTTTAATTAGGTTTTATATCATGCTATATGAATATCCATACTTACTAAATATATTTTTGATGGGTTTTTATTTGTAGACACAGTAAATGTACGAGTGTAAATAGCAATTATTTTTAAGTATTAACAACATTGTATATATAAAATAGCTATTGTTTTTTATAGAAATAATGTGATATCAAAAATTAAATTATATATTTCTTTATTATTTGCATAGTTTAAAATTATTCATAGTAGGTACGGATTTAATTAAATTAATCCAATACTACATCTATAATGTACTTGTATGTCTATATGTTACCATTGGTATAGTTACAAAACGTTTCTACACTATACTAACTACATTTTTTAAGAATCAGTATATTATTGAATTTTTAAGTTTTAATGAGGATATAATTAGGTATTAAATTAATTTTTACTAGCTACACTATACAAATTAAAGAATAATTGAGTATCTAAAGTTACATTTTAATATTTTTTACTCTTTAATATTTCTTATTGTTTCATTAGATAAACATATTTGATTAAATAATAATTTTGTAACAGGTATATAGTTAGATTTATATTCTAGTGCTTAAAAACCTTAAAAATGTGTTTATTGATTAGTAATAATGAATATTATATAAAACTTTTATTTTATCTTTTCAGCCGGATTCTGAGGATGGTAATGAAATGGTATTTTGTGATAATTGCAATATTTGTGTTCATCAAGCATGTTATGGAATTACCACAATCCCATCTGGGTCATGGCTTTGTCGAACTTGTACTTTACGTTTTCGTCCTGAATGTGTACTTTGTCCTAATAAAAATGGTGCAATGAAATGCACACGATCAGGTCATAAATGGGCTCATGTATCATGTGCATTATGGATTCCTGAAGTAAGCATTGGATGTGTAGAAAAGATGGAACCTATTACTAAAATATCTAGTATACCTGTAAGTATAACAATTAATACAATAATCCAATTCATTTAAAATTCAATATATTGAATTATTGTAGCCAAGTAGATGGGCGCTTATATGTGTATTATGTCGAGAACGAGTAGGAGCATGTATACAATGTTCAGTTAAAACATGCAAAACTGCATATCACGTTACCTGTGCTTTTAAACATGGACTTGAAATGAGAGCTATTATTGAAGATGAAAGTGCTGAAGATGGTGTAAAATTGAGAGTTAGTATTAAACAGTTTTATATTTAGTATCATATCTTAAAAATGTGTGTAAAATAATTTTATTTTAAATATTTTAGTCTTATTGTCAAAAACATAGCGTAACTAATAAAAAGGATAGGAATTCTGGTTCAGAAGATGAAGACTCTACAAAAAGAAAACGTAAAGATATGACTTCGGAAGAAAAGAATCAAGCTAGAGCAGCTAAGTAAGTAAATTAAAAAATTATATAGTTTATATTTTTTAAATTAACATTTTTGTTTTTTTTTTCTTTGAAGATTACAAGAAATTGAAAGTGAATTTGAAAAGCATGTTAGTGTTATTGATGTTACACAATGTCGAGATGTAGATAATGAAGGTATCCTTTATATTTATAACTACTGGGTATTAAAAAGACGGTCTGGAAACAATCGACCATTGTTACTGCCAAAATCTGATGATGGTGATCTTCTTGGAAGACAGCAAGAACAAGCAGATTTAGAAAAGCTTAAAATGTTTGTACAACTTCGACAAGATTTAGAAAGGGTAAGTAATAATATTAAAATAGTAATATTAAAATTATTATTTCTAGTTTTCATTAACTTTTGAATATAATTTTGATTGCTAGGTACGAAATTTATGTTATATGGTCAGTAGAAGAGAAAAACTTTCTCGAAATCTACTTAGTTTACGAGAGCAAACTTTCCACAAACAAGTTGCTGTCCTTTCAGATTCTAAGCTCAATCTTAGTTCAGCTGAAGTATCAGCTGTTCAAGAAGCTAATCATGGCCCATCAATTTATGATAGATTATATTCATATCCTGATGCTCCTGATTTAAGTACTGATTTTGAAACTATGTTATCTCGAATTTCTGGAGGAGCGTCACCAGAAAAATCTAATTTTACTGGAATAAAGTGGCCGTCTTCAAGAGACAATCCATACAAAAAACCTTATGTCAATGGAGCAACACGATACTCAAGTATGTCAAGTAGTAGTGATCTTGAACTAAAGACATCTAGGCTTATTAGTAGTGAACGATCAAGTATGGATGAAGCTGAATTAATCAAATCTATGTTAAACAAACGTAAATTAAAAGAGAAAAGGCTGAATAAAAAACGTTCGAAAACTAAACTTACTACAGATTCATCTACTGAAGAAGAAAATGAAAAAGTTAAACCAAAATGGAGTTCATCGCCTAATAAAAAATTGTTACAAATTGAAAAGCAATTTGGTAGTGATGATAGTGGAGATGTATCGTTACCTAAAATTTCATCTAAACGTCCGACCAAAGTAAATAATATTTATTCTGACTCTGATTCTGAATTGTCAGCCAAAGAAGATCTTTCTTATGCGCTCACAAAAGCATCAGTTAAAGATTTTTCACATGGGAAGTCTAAAAATAAAATAATTAAAGATAAAAGTACTTCTCTTAATAAGGCTAAAGAAATTTCATTGGAAAAGGATACTAAGAAAACCAAAAAAGAAGACAGTAAAAGTAATTCTACCGTACCTTCAGAACTTATTGTACCTCAAAGACAAGCTGCTAAGAAAGCTACTGAAAGTATTCATCGAGTGCATAGTAAACATGATGAAATTTTAAATGAAAAGAAGTCTCCAGAAAAATTATTAACTATACATAAAAAATCTCCTGAAAGAATAGGGTCTAATGCAAAATCTCCTGATAAACCACCTATTAAAGTTAATAAAATCAAAAACAATGAAAAATTGAGTTCGGTGGAAAAGGAATCTGATCCACAAGAATTATTCGGTTTTGTTCCTCAAAGGCAAGCAGCTAAAAAAGCTATTCAAGGCATTAAGAGTGGTATGACAAAGCCTGTTGAAGAAACAAAGGTACCTGAACCAATTAAAAAAGAAGAACCAACTAAATCAAAGCGTAATACTAAATCTTTATCCTCAACATCAAGCAGTAGTTCTTCAAGTAGTTCTTCAAGTACAACAAGTTCATCGAGTTCCTCGTCTACATCTGGTTCATCAAGTTCTGATAGTGATACAGAACCTGAAAAGAAACAAAAACCTATTGATCATGTTAGTCCACTAAAAGAAGTTTGTAAGACTAAAAGCCCTCCTAAAGCTAAAGGTTGGCTATCAGAAAATAAGCCTATTAAAATTAGCTCTTCCTCTAGTAGTGAGTCGGATAAAGACCAAAAAGTGATCAGGGCGCCAGACAAGAAGCTTAAAACTTCCGACAGGCGGCCTGAACACAGGTTTCAGGATCCGCCACCTAAGAGAGAGGAATCTAGAAGAAAATCGATTGGAAGTGATCGATGCGATACTATTCAAGTCATCACATGTGGAGATTCTAGTGTCAGGAATGATGGAGATAGAAAATCGAGCGATCGTGACCACGTTGGAACATCAACTAGTCAGTCGGACGGATTTAAACCTGAAACGAAACATCCCACACATGCAATTGAGGACCAAGAGATTGAGAAGAAGTTGAAACTTGATGATGGTACTCAGAGAGTTTTAAAAGAAGACCATGGCCTTAATATAAATATTCAAGAAGTAAAAAGTAAAAATGTTACTCCGGCACAACATGCTTCTGATAAAGAAAACAAAAAAACTGATGAATTAAACTTGTACTTGCCAGGTGGTCATCGTTTAAATGATCTCAAAGATGAACATTTATTAAGTTCTTCATTTTTAACTAGACAAGATATTGAACGAGAATTAGTTAATAATCTAGATTATGATAATAAGAAATTCTCAAAAATACCATTCAATTTTAATAATCACTTTCCTGGAGGTCAAAGATCAATATTTTCTCCACAGCAGTGTAACAAAGATATTCCAGATTTTGATTTTGACAAAGATATGCTTGCTGTTGAACAAGCAGCAAATGAAGAAGGTTTTGGTTTGACTAGAGACACTGATGTACGAAATGCTCCTTTGTCATTTACTTTTAACAACGAATTTCTCTTTAAAGATGATTCAAAAGAAGTAACAGCTAGAGAAACATTAAACCTTGTGGAAAAGTTAAGATTAGGAATCACAAAAAAATCTGTACCATTAGAAAGTGAGAATATAGAAGATTTAAATGATTCTCCTAAAGTACTTGATCCACCTAAACAATCAGAATCTGAGCAAAAAACAGATAACACTCTTTATAATGCATACAATAAATACCAACAACAATCTAATGAAGTAATTGATGTGAATAAAGTTCCAGAACGAGATAAATTGGATAGGAGTGAAAGTGCTTTATCTGATGAGAGATGGGTACCACCTAGTCAGCGTAGTCAAGCAGAATCTCCTTATCAAGATATTAATGATGCCAACCGTTGGTCAGATAGCGTTGTTATGCCATCTAGACGTTCTGATACTTCAAATGAACCATCTCCAGAACATAGAGATTCAACTGCCACAGAGTCATCATATCAACCCTTACATACATTTCCTACATCTGTCCCAATGCAAATTGATAACATACAGTATTCACAATATTCAGATACATCATTTGCATTAAACCAACCTACTAGTAATCCTTTCATGCCATCTTCACGAAATTTTAATTCTCAACAATTCACATTGCCTCCACCATTTTCTACTCACTCCGCATTAATTTCAGACCTAAGTAAACCTTTACATTTACAAACTCCTTGTACTGCAGCCTTTACTTCATCAACTCAAAATATGGCATTTACTGCAGCTATGATATCTCCAATGACGCATCATGATAACTTTATTCCACCATTTAGTGATATGAATGCATATAATGACAACAATATTCTTATTTGTGCTAATAGTAATAATTCATCTTTGCAAACCGAAACTGTGATCCATAATGTGCTTAATGCAATTAATCAAGCATCTAATATGGATAATCAGATACCTAATTTGCCAATAAGTCAAGATTCCAGAGTTAATAATAGTCAAATATCTATTAATCATAATTTATCTCCAGCTTCTACTAATGACCAAACTCCAGTAATTGATGTACTATCATCATCAAATCAACATCAAGAACCAGTTACGTCTCATAATCAAATTGAAATAACTATTGCACCATCAATTTCTAATTACCAAGAACCTATTGTAAGTCAAACCAAGATAACTGATATGACAATAACTTCTAACAATCAATTACCAACTACAAACCAATTACCTGAAAGTAAAACTTCTATTTCTGAAGTTTATATTCCACCAATCAGTCAAATAGAGGTTAGTCAAAACATCATTAAACAAACTCCAATACAAACGCCAATCAGTGTAAGTCAAGCATTTAATCAAAACACTCCAAGTATACCAACTCCTAAACAATCGCCTGCCCTTCCCACAACTCCTTTACCTGAACGATCTCCTATGTCCATTATTGCTTCATCTCCTTCGGTAACTAGTTCACCCCATCCAAATCGCACACCTTCTGATAAAAAATCTCCTTCTAAACCAACTCGGTCTTCGAGTCGTGTTTCTGCTCAATCAGTTAAATCACCAGAAATAATTGATCATTCACCTGAAGTTAAAAAACAGAATAAACGAGGACCTAAGCCTCAGTCTAAAACATCTGGACGTGGTCGAGGTCGTGGCCGTGGCCGTTCATCAAACCATTTTGCTGATTACAATCCTGCTGTTAGTAAACTTGCAGGTACAGCATATGATCTTGATTTCGTTGAAGAATTTGATAATGATAATAATGGACGTTTGGAAAATCTTCGAGCCATGCGAGAACGTAAAAAGTCTGATGTTAAAGCAGATAGTAAATCTCCTGTTTCTCCTAAAGTACAAAGCAGCCCTAATAACTACAGAAGGAAACATGCAAGTGTTAAAGAACTAAAGCCACCTTCTCCAATTATTGAAATAAATACTGAGGATACTTCAGCTCAAATCAGGATTGATGAATTATCTCCAATGTTACCAGGACCCGTTGATATGAGGACATATAATTCCTATGATAATGTAACCTCATATTCTGAAAACATGTATGATACTAACACTATCGTAGATGACAAAGTAACTGATAATGTAAATACTTCAAAGGATGATTTGCAAAGTTTTTCAAAATCAACTGTCAAAGATAAAGATATTGATGATCAATTCAAATTAATTGATGATCAAATAAAAATAGTTAAAGCACCACTTCCTGTTAAAAAAGATCCTATAGCTTCTAGTACTGTATTGCAAAATGAATCAAGGAATCAGTTAAAAGTTAAAATAAAAGGACCTTTCTTAAATGCTGGTTACAACAATGTTCAAAATCAACCAATATTACCAACTATTGATACTTCTGCTATAAGTATGAATATACCCAGTCATTCAGTTCCTCCATCAGAGGCTGCTAGTGTTCCCTCTAATTTCAGACAAATGCGAAAGAAAGAACTACTTCGGCAGTATTGTAATCAACAAGATAATATTGAACAAACAACTAATCATCCTATAGTCCCTCCATTAAGCCGAAATGTCATAACCATTCCGAAAGCAGTTGCATCTATGACTACAATTCCTACTAAAGAAGATTACAAAGCAGTAGTGGATGCAAATATGGAAAAGAAGCGTACTAAATATGGATTTGATGATCCTAAATCTAATTACATTAACAATATTCGAAAAGGTGAAGCAATAACCCCCAAACTTAAAATTAAAATTGGAGGCCAACAACCAATGGTTACAACTATGGAAGAAAAGCGTAGTCTTCGACCACCCAAAAAACGTATATGTGATACTCAAAATGATGAAACTAATCATTTAATTGCACCTACTATGGAACAATTACGACGCGATAGTATGAAGTTCCGGCGGAAAGTAATTGCTCGTTTTGAAGAAGATGCTTTAGAATCAACTTCAGTACCAGTAACACCTACCCCAAAAATTAAAAAGAAACGTAGATCTAGTCCATCAGTATCGAGGAAGAAAAAATCGCGAACAAATAAAGAGATGGTACAGGTGATAGAGGCCAAAGAAAGCACCCCTAAATTAATTATTAGATTCTCTAAAGCATCACCTGATGAAGCTGAAGTAAGTGCAGTAACAGAGCCTCAAAAAGCAACCCCTATTAAACTTAAAATATCCAGATGTAAAGAAGGATATGTTATGAAACCTCCTAGTAACCAAGCCACCACTGATACTTCAATAAACAATAACTGTGAGGTTCGGTGACGGCAATGAAATCTTGTAATTTTTTTTGATCAATCTTATCTTTGATAAGCATTTTGTGTATAAAATTGAATAAGCTGTAATTTATTTATGTAATTTTAGTTGTACATTCTTAATTATTTATTATAAAATTTTAATTAAATGTAAATGTATATTTATAAAATAAATTGTTGTTTTCCTTGATTTGTTGTTAATTAAACTATTAAAACAAACAAATGTTCTATGAATACTCCAAATTATTGATATAATTGTGTTAAGGCAAAGCAAATGTCAATTAATTTTAATTTTGTTATCTAGTTTAAGATAAGATTTTCATGTTAATGTGCAATATGCAATTGTAAAGTTTTTTTTTTAATTATTTGTTAACCTTTTACATTAAAATCGAACAATTTTTTTTCTTTTTTGTACTTGTTATATTACCAATTATTTTTAAAGTTTACGTTATGTACGCAATGGGTTGTTTTTTAGCTGTGATTGTTTTTTTTTTTTTTTTTTTTGACAACATGACAAAAGTAATTCTGAAATTAAAGCTTTAAAAGATAGGATTTATTCTTTTATTTTCTCCAAATTATAATATATATATATTTTTATTTTTCATGCATTTTTAGTCAACACAGAAATTAGCTTTAAGTACATAAAATACAATTGACAAATAGTCAATAATAAAAGATCTCAATTTTCACTTGTGTTAGATTTTAAGATTTTTAATAAAATCTAAATTAAAGGAATGAAAATTTAGTTCTATTTTATTAGCTAAAATCAGATTTTAAAATATTGGTAGAACACAATATACGGTTTTAATTTGTAGATTTTTTTTATAAATATAAATTTTGAATATAATTTATTAAAAGCGTTTTGATTCTAAATAATTAATGGAAGTCTATTTTTTTTTGTTTTTAAAAATTATAGACAATCGTAAAATTTTAAGATGATTATTATTGATACATTGTTGATAGTTGTATTAATATACATTTTTATGGAATTGTAATTTTTAAGTGTTCAAAACATAATTTAAACATAATATTTCCATAATTTTAAGATAGCTCAACTGACAGATTTTTCTCTCAACAAAAAAATGTAACTATGGTATGAAAACTTGGGAATTAATAATTTGATATAACAAGTTTTTTAGAACTTCGTTACACTTTATGTTTGTTATTATCAATTTTGTAACTATTCCATAATAATCATATATATATATATATATATATATATTCTTCTCTAACCTATGTGTACATTTTAAATTTTAAGCTACTTTTAAAAAATCAAGAATTTTTTAAATATTGTATATTATTATGTTTTGTACATACATTATTGTTTCGGTTTTTTAAATTAATTTAATTGTGTAGATAATTATACTCATTTATATTTATTTGTAAATAAATAATTATATAAATAATATTTTACTAAGTTGTAATTTTTTTGAATACTTCATTGCTAATTAACACTTCATATGCGTGTAAAATGTATTAAACAAATATGGATTGTATAATATTTAGGTATGTAACATTGGGGATTAATTCCTTTATATTCTATTTTGCAAAATTAAAATCCTCACTGAAATTTGATAGTGAGTACATCCAGGAATACTTGCATGTAAAATATTTAATATAACACAGATCATTGTCAACAGAAGAAAAATAATTGAAAATGAGTTACTTTGTCAGTCACCAACCTTTTGATAATAATAATACATATATTAATCCAATTTCGTGACAAGTTTTTATTTATATTTAAAAAGTGAGTAACTTATACAAAATACACACAAAAATAAGTTGATACAATCCAAAGACTTAGGTAAAGATTATTTATGGGGAAGGTTGATATATTTAGTTTATGATTATTTTTATTATCTATTTACTAGCTGGAATATTGGCAATAGGGGTAGGGACGTATTTAGATAGGAGCTATGAGTCCTGATGTCCAGAGCAGCTAATTTGTAAAAATTCAGAGGAATAGCAAATTTTTAAAAGTTAAAAGTGATGATAAATATTTATTTCGCAGGTTACAAACTAGACTATAAACCAAAACTACCCAACTTTTTATAAACGTGACCTTGAAATTTAAAATCAAACTATACGCGTGCACAAAAAAAATAGTGATCCAACTAATTGAAATCAGAATTTCTAACCAATATCAATCATTGTCCGATTTTTTTTCTTGCATTTCAATATTAGACTCATTTAACTGTTCAAAAACATCACTTAAAATAGTTAACCTGATTGTCCATGTAAGTATCGTCATTAAATTTTTCAGTCAATGAGTAGTTTTTTACTATTAGAAAAATATGTGTTTCTATGTGCAAAGACATGACAAGGGAAATAATTTTTCTTCAAAAAAATCAACGTACAGGGCCGGCTTTAGATACAATCAATGCGTGCAACGGCACAGGGTGCGTGAGAGGCGTCAAAATTAGAATTAAATTTGATCAATCGTTGGCGATTGCCAATTATCTACTATTGAGAGAGAAAAAAATGTTACGATGTTATTCGACATAAATTTGATTATTATTAATTACTATTCTATCCACATGGAAGGGTTGGCCTCGCTTGTGTTGATTTTCGGGACTGTTCATATTATGCACTTTGAAAAAATCTTCTGCCCCAAAGAAGTATGCAAGCGCTTAGCTGAGATGCTTATGGACAAACGGAAATTAAAACTGCAAATTCTATTATAGGGCCGTAGGGGTGATAAAATGTACTTAACTTAAATTAAGGAACATATCAAAATTAATGTTTCCCAACTCAAGTGTTAATAATGGATGAACGCATGCAAAAAATCGAGTGGTGAGGTTTGAAAAAATATCATAACGTTAGTATTGTTGTACCTTTATCAATCTTTAATGATAAGTACATTATTGGTATTAATTATATTTTGTTGAGAGATTCTCTTTGCGGTTAATAACTTGGCGATGAAACGGTTACGGCAAGCAGTTCGGCGGCGAAATGTCAGGGTCCGTCCAATGCAGTCAGTCCAAATTGGGTAATTTTTCCAAAAAAAAATGTTCAACTTTTTTAAAAATATCTAAGCCAGTTTATGAAGTTATAGAAAGCAGCTCACAAAATAAAAGTTCTTCAAAATAACAGTCAAAACTTCTATAACGTCAGTGCCATCAACATCGGATTAAGGGCCGATGCCACCCAGGAGCAAATAATGTTTGCCCCCCCCTCTCACCCTCAAAGAAAGAAAGTTTAAGTGAAACAAAAAAAAATCCTAGTTTCTATGTAAAAATTAAAAAATAAAGTACTACTTATAAATATATATTGTAAAATATAGGTACCTAGTATAATAATTAATCTACTTAAACTAAAAAGTATAAATAGGTAGGTATATGATAAATGTCACTGAATAGTTTTGCAAAGAACTTTTTTAAACTAATAGAAAATACTGACAAAATACAATTATAATGTTAATAAATTAGTTCAAAATATACAGATAATAATTAAAGTAATTTTTATTATTAATGCCAATTAAAAAATTTTTTTTAACCATATAACTATGTATATATTATAAATTATTTATGTTTTTATAATATTATTTATTTTTTTTTAATTATATTTTTTTATGGATTTAATAGTTGCAAGTTTTTATGTTAGTTCTTATCTTACATTTCCTCAACCAAATCAGATTCTATGCATAAAATTGATAAATTGGACATTTTTTCTTGTATTAATGACGATCTTAAATCATTTTTTTGAGGCTATTTTATTTATGCCGCCCCACTAAATTTACCGCCCTGGAGCAAATGCTCCTTTTGCACCTAGGTTAATCCAGCCCTGTATAACATATAAATACCATTAGTTGGACGTTATTTTGGATATCAAAGAATTCATCGATTTAATTTGAAAATTGTTTTGCTGAAATAAGTAGATGTATTAACTGTTATAAAATATTTTCAGACAGAAGATCTAATCTTCGTTTAATAATTTTATCCAAAAGCAGAATTTTTCAGAACTTATTAGATACATCATCTTCAGAGACGGCTCTAACCATTAAAATACCTGATGGTTTCATAAGTTCCTAAACAATATTATGATCTTTTTTAAGTATGCTATTTTCCTAACCACGTCAAATAATATCTCGGTAGTACCTATTAAATAAAGAAATAGTAAGTTTATTGGATGGACCGCCAAGCCATATTTTATTGTACTTTTATGTTTTTTCCTACACACACAATGGTTTATTAACCAATATGGGATAAACAGTGTTAAGATGTCTTTTGAATTTAATAATTTTCATTGATTAATTTGATAGATATTGCAAACAGTACACAAATTGAGGACGCACTAAACCCGAATGATCTAAGCTATCCGTAAAAGCAAATCTAAAAAATTCATCTTCTGTGCATATCGTGCAGGACATCTTTTCAGTATTAAAATAATAAAAAAACTATTAACGGTTTACAACGGTACAAGACACCTGAGGATTCACTCCAATTGTTTGTTTTTTTGATTATTTCTGTATCAAATGCATTTGCTAAATTCTATTAAAATATTAGATTTTGTATACCCAACATTTATTTATTTTAAATTGTTCTTATATATTTTTTATTTTTTTATTTTGCCTTTGCTAAAAATAAAAATCGTTCTTATTTGTAAACGAAAATAATAATAATCAATAAATTAAATAAATAATAAGTTTTTATGGGGCTAATATAGAGGGTCCGGACGCCATGTACCCCTCCCCCCCGTGATGTTGTAATCTATAGTATTATCAATAATCATTGATATATCAGTGATTAAATATACAATTGTATATTTATTATATAATATATTTAATATATACAATTGTATATTTAATCAATGGTTATATCTACATACTATTTTTTTTATCTATTAACTATAATACAAGCCACCAATTTAGGAGTATTTTAACATTATATTTAACTGTTACTCAATAAACATATCAGTGTCGTAATTGTCTGATAAAATGAAGGTTACATTAGCAATAATCGACTTGTTGTGATAACGAAATTTCAGTGAATCTCAAAGATTATTGCTAAGTTAATACTCTTTATTGCTAAATAATTATCGTATCCAATAAAATCAGTGTGACCACCACATTAATGTATACTTTTATTGCTACCAAAGTGAATATCATAGATAAGTATAAATTAGTATATAAATGGCTATATATCCACCTTGATTGCTACATTTATTAAAACGATACCCCAGTTCTACCGGATTGATAAGAAATTCCATGCCGCAATACGGACTGCTGTTAAAAAGAACAAGTTCGAAACACATTTTGAGCGTGTTCCGGAAGAGCACGGACTATTAAAATAATATCAATGGAATAAGAGGTGATGTTTTATACTGTGTGAAAATATCTAAGGGAACACTGGCCGATTTCGAAAGTTTTATACATGATGTTACATCGGAACATTATATCATATTAATTTAAAAAA